GATGAAACTTCAGCTGATGGCCATCTTAAATATAGATAGGCAAATATGTGAATGACCAGTTAGTCACAATTTTAGCATCAATACAATGAATTATAACGAATAGTGAGTTGGCGAACTTAGCATCAACGGTAAATGTGGACTTAAACAAGGTAAAACCAAACTTTCTTCAGTATTTATAGGCATCAGGATGTCAATATAGGTTAACAGGCAACAGGGATCGGATGTATAAACTCAATGAAAATAATATTTGTATAATGGTTGTGATACAGTTAGCTGTGAATATAGTGTCAGTTGGTGAAGAGTCGGCTGAGGATAGTAACTTTTTATTTTAGCAAACATATTTTGCAAAGTCAATGTGAAAAACTGTGTCGTAGAGTATATGAAAATAAGTCAGTTTAAGGTGATGTGACAAGAATAAGTCCCGAAGACTCCACTTTGCTGGCAAAGTTAATGAAAATCAGGAAGTTCTGAGAGAATTGATAGTGTTAATATAATCGTTTCAGTAATACCAAGACCAAAACGATAGATCTTTGTATTGAAAATAGGGTCAACATGAAGGGACGCATTCTCTTTCCTACTGTTATAGGATACACCAGGTACGAGCAAAAACTTTATGATATTTATGGTATGTACTTAGAAATACAGTAGGACTAATTAAACTTACAGTGAAACCCCCACTCTGATGATATTTGTAAATGTCCGAGAAAAACTGATCCAAATTTTGGATATGATCCCATGCTCCTTTTCTGCTCTGAAAACTCTGAGTTCCTCTTAGATTTGGATCTGGGTGTGGATGGTCATACTCATTAACCAAACATTCATATTTCCCTTGGCCAACGGGAAACATCTTGGCTCAAACTAACATCGTAACAGCGCCAATGGAATTGACAAGGTCGTTTGGGGACAAAATAGTGAGCCTTCGATCTTCAATTTTCAGAGATGTGTAGAGCACGTCGGTAAATCATTTTTCCAGTCAAATGCCTAACTGATGGAAGTTTTGGCACAAGTCTGCTGCACAGAATTTTCGAAAACCTAATATATTTCCGACGGATGAGTACTCATTTACTTACGTCTGTTACCCTTCATGGAGGTGCATAGGACACTTAGTAGGATTTTGGCAATTTCTCCCAGTTTTAACTAGTTGCCATTCGTTCTTTGGATTCTTACCTCCAATTCCCAACTAAGTGTGTTCTTTGGTGTTCCTCTTTTCTTTTTACCTTTAGGATCCTATGTCAGAGCTTGCCTCTCGATGTGGTTTAATGATTTTTAAAACGTATTTCCTATCCACCTCAAGCGACCTCTTCTAATTTCCTCTTTACTTTGAAGTTGGTTTGTCCTCTCTCACGTTAGGCTGTTGCTGATGGTATCCGACTAACGAACAGTGAGTGCACGCTGTGAAGGAAAGCTTTCTCATCGATGTCACTAGGTCTTTGGTAACAATAAAATTACATTGAATCATCACAAGGCATCATCTTGAAAGTAAACATACACTAGCACTGAAAATTCTCACTGGTCGTTGAATACTTGGCGAAACAGAGTGAAGGTCAATAAGTATCAACAGGAGAAGAATGATCATTGCTCCGTGGCTCAGTCATACAAGCATGGCTCCTGTATATCCTTCCTTATTACAATAAATATATTATTCATCCACCAGCATGAATGTATCATTCAAAGGTTCACACAAATTATGGCAATGACTGCCACAATAGATCCTTCCTTTCAGTTGGGAGTAAACAACTTCACTGGTTCTACACACTTCATAGTACAGTGAAAGATGACGATATGTAAAGCATAACAGTCAAGCCTACCCAGGGGACAACATAATGGCGTTTATGTAAACAAATAAAACTACCAACTAAATCATTGAACTTGAATTTGTCTTTGTGTGTAGCCGAACTTATAGTCAGACCCAATTCAACCCAGTTAGTCTATTAAAGCTTCATCAGACCCGCCCTAAGGATCGGTACACACATGTTTCAGTGCTGTGATTCATAAGTCTTGATGGGGTCTTAATAATTTCAAGGAGTCAAATTCATCAGTTATTTATCCATTTCTTATCACACTAATTCATTGCGTCGCACCACAATAAGCAGTATTCAAAGTTTGTTCGAACTTTATTTATCGTAGACTTTGTTTTTGGCACATTTACAAACCTAAGTGCCTTCAATGAACTTTTCATAAGCGGCACCATATTCCCACACAAACACAATCACAAAACCACATGGACTTCACTGGATCACACAACGCAAAACTAAATCGACCATATCTGCATCAACAAAAAGTTCAGGAGGACGATGGAGGATCTGAGAACCAAGAGAGGAGCTGATGTTGCATCAGATCATCACTTGTTAATCGCCAAGATGAAATTGAAACTCAAGATGCACTGGACATCGGGGCGGACAACACCACAAAAGTTTAATACAGCTTTTCTTCGGGATACTGAAAAGCTCAATAAATTCAAGATAGCCCTCAGCAATAAGTACCAGGCCCTTCATGATCTACTGAATTTTGAGGTGACTACTATGGAGAGCAACTAGAAGGGGATCAAGGAAGCAATCACTTCAAAATGCCATGAGGTTCTAGGCCACAAGAAGCACCATCACAAGGAATGGATCACTGTTGATACACTGGCGAGATTCAAGAAAGGAGGAACAAAAAGGCCGAACAAGATCAGAGAAAGTCAAGGCACAAGCTGAATACGCAGAAGTAGACAAACAAGTGAAGAGGGGCATCAAACCCGACAAACGTAAATATGTGGAAGATCTAGCAATGACGGCGGAAAGGGCTGCAAAAAAGGAAACATGAGACAACTGTATGACACGACAAAGAAACTCTCTGGAAATCGCCGCAAATCAGAACGACCAGTGAAAGCAAGGAAGGCGAGGTAATCACCAACATTGAAGAGCAACAAAACAGGTGGGTAGAACACTTCAAAGAACTCTTGAATCGACCAGCTCCACTGAACCCACCCAACATCGAAGCAGCACCCATGGACCTCCCAATCAATGTTGCCCCATCAACAATTGAAGAAATCAGCATGGCCATCGGACAAATCAAGAGTGGCAAAGCAGCAGGACCGGACAACATTCCAGCAGATGCACTGAAAGCAGACGTAGTGGCAACTGCAAGGATATTCCACATTCTCTTCAATAAGATTTGGGATGAGGAACAAGCACCAACAGAGTGGAAAGAAGGACTTCTGGTCAAAACACCAAGGAAATGCGATCTCAGCAAGTGTGATAACTACAGGAGCATCACTCTTCTCTCAATACCGGGAAAAGTCTTCAACAGGGTATTGTTAAACAGGATGAAGGACTGAGTAGACGCCCAACTTCGTGACCAACAGGCAGGATTCCGTAAGGATAGATCATGTACAGACCAAATCGCAACTCTACGGATCATTGTGGAACAATCAATTGAATGGAATTCATCACTCTACATCAACATCATTGACTACGAAAAGCATTTGATAGCGTGTACAGAACAACACTACGGAAACTTCTTCGACACTAAGGCGTGCCTTAGAAGATAGTCAATATCATACAGAATTCCTATGATGGATTACACTGCAAAATTTTGCATGGAGGACAATTGGCAGACTCGTGCGAGGTGAAAACTGGTATTAGGCAAGGTTGCTTACTCTCACCCTTTCTCTTTCTCCTGGTGATCGACTGGAAAATGAAGACGTCAACATCTGAGGGAAGCATGGGATACAGTGGACAGCTAGAATGTAGCTGGACGATGATCTGGCTCTTCTATCGCACTCGCAACAACAAATGCAGGAGAAAACGACCAGTATAGCAGCAGCCTCAGCAGCACTAGGTCTCAATATGCACCATGAGAAAAGCAAGTCTCCGATATAGCACAGCATGCACCAATCGAGTCACACTTGACAGCGAAGGTTTGGAAGATGTAAAAGCCTTCACATATCCGAGCAGTATCATTGACGAACATGGTGTATCTGATGCAGATGTGAAGGCGCGGGTCAGCAAAGTAAGAGTAGTATATTTACAATCGAGGAAGGTCTGGAACTCAAAACAACTGTCAACCAACATCAAGGTCAGAATTTTCAATACAAATGTCGAAACAGTTCTACTGTATGGGGCGGAAACCTGAAGAACCACGGAAGCCATCATCCAGAAGATATAAGCGTTTGTTAGCAGTTTTCTAAGCAAAATACTTCTGATCAGTTGGCCAGACACTATCTGCAACAACCTACTGTGGGAGAAAACAAACCAGATCTCAGCGGAGGGAGGAATCAGGAAGAAGCGCTGGAAGTGGATAGGACACACATTGAGGAAAGCACTCAACTGTGTCACAAGGTAAGCCATCGTTTAGAATCCTCAAGGCCAAAGGAGAAAACCAAACGACACATTACGCCGAGAAATGGAAACAGGCATGAGAAAAATGAACTAAAATCGGATAGAACTGAGAAGGAAGGCCCAGGACAAAAAGGGTTGAAAAATGATAGTTGGTGGCCCATGCTCCATTGGGAGTAACAGGCGTAAGTTATTTTGGTAGGTGAGGAAACACGTTCCACTACTTGTTGCAGTGCACATGTTAATAAACAACAACAAACATTTAAGAGTGCTTAGTATTGCAATAACTAGATTCATGTATCTTAAGCAGTCACTTCGTATGCTAAAACGGTTAAGTAAACGAGTCAAGTATTTAGATGGAAATATAGGTAATTGTGGACACAATTTACCTCTGTATTGGCCGAATAAGCATTCTACAGTGAACAAAACTTGTCCACTTACTAGTTGGACACATTTTTCTGTTTGCATAAAAGGAGTAAAATCTATCGAACAAGGATTTTTTTAGTTATTTACTTGTCGATAATCAGTAATGTTTGGTGAATACCTTGTTATAGTACTTTGGTTATTATAATGTTGACTACGACAATAAGTTTTTTTACCCCATCAATCTGAGTTCTCCTATTAACATTGGGATATACCAAATTCTTTGCAGTATTTGGAATAATTAAATCCGAGAAATCCTTAGAAACAATTCATTTTAAAGAAAATATTACTCTCTTCTTGTTCTCTTCCTAATAAATAATACAATCTATACATAGTTCACAAAAACAAAAATCAAGGGTTAGGTGATATCAAATAGTCTGCTGTAGATCTTAACAAATTTCTAAATATATATTTTATTCTTTGATTCACTCTGTCTACTTCATTCAATAATATTCGTGAATTATTTACATTGGTTTGATATGTTCGTATCTTGTCAATTTGATCGTTGATTATTGAGTCATCTTTTAGAGAATCATCTATTTGTAAGTCTATTGGTTGTATGAATCTAAATTGAGCTGCGCTTAAAAAATCTGACTTGTATTCCAAAAGATTTTTTGTATAGGACAGGATATTATTCTATAAAAAGAGGTAGAACTTATAAAAACTTTTCGAAATGTATATATTATCAATTAACGTAAGGAAAAATATATTATTTGAACGGTTTAAAGCATACCACATTTGTTCAGTACATATAAATTAACATTTTAATTGGACACATTTATCTCTATCAGTCTGGTATCATTGTTGTATCGATTCCCATAATTATTTGACCGTATTTAATTTCGGTTAGTAAACATGTTAGCCTACAGGTTCACTCATCGGTAATACAGCTCTTGTTAACAGTTGAGGTAAGTTCCCGTCATGGACTTGTATCATTCTGAAGAATCGCTTAAGACTCAAGAGCGCTGAACAGATGTTGTTTTATTTTGGATTTGTTTGACGTACAAAGGACTACACACATATCACTTCTCTAGGGGTTTAACCACGGACCTCCGTGTTATATAGTCGTTCGTCAAAAAAGTAGACTTTAATCATATTATCTATCATACTGGATGTATATCTATGTCGAAAGACTTATTAATGAGCGTCGAATTGTCTATCGCAATCCTTGAAGATGAACGAATTGGTTTGGTGTGGTCAGCAAAAGATGGAAATCAGTCTCACTCTGTCTGTCATACATTTTCTTTTATTCCCACTTGAATATCACTCAATCATCCAAGATTTTGAATGAATTCTACAAAAGTACGTAGTACTTTAAACTGGTGTAGCTATTAGGTTCCAAACTCCCGAGTATTATCAAGTTCCAATTTTACGTTGATAACATCAAAATATGACCGGTATTATCAGAAGATACTGATACAAGGGGACTGCACGCCGACCTCGATGTCCTGGCAAGCCGATATGAGTTATGGTTTGTGTTTGCTGATGTGTCAAAGTGTATCTATATACACATTAGTCACGCAGATGGAAATAACAATAATATTGGGAAAACGTCAGTGCATTTAGTTCTAACTTACTATAATTTACAAATCATAGTTAGTCGTGGCCTTAAGACCACAGATCACTGTTTTTGGTTGGAGCAAAGGGGTTTGGAGCCGTTTATGATTAAGATTTACTTTGACCGTGCTGCATACATATATAATTAACACCATTCATATAACCCTAGGGAGTTTTAAATTGGGAAGTGACTCAGATATCATGAAAAAAGTACAGAAGACATCTATCAGATCAGTTCCTGAGTTGCGTGTCTTACCACGCATATTGCTGCTTGATAATTTAGAACATGGATTAAGGGATGATTTGATTATGATATTTAGGTTACTGAGAAATGATTTTGGGTGGGATATATTCCAACTTTTCCTTCCATCTAAGTCAATACAATACAGAGGAGACAGCAGCCGATTTCAAAAGCCAAGAACAAACAAAGTCTTTACCACGAGCACTTTTTCCATGCCATTATCTTGTCATAGTACTTTATCAGATTCCATATTGAGTAATCACGTAGACTGGATTTTTTCCCAGTATACAAATTTACTTTTACATTATCTACGACTCTGTAATATATCAATGGTTGAAACAATTTTTCTTGAACTAAACATACCTGCAGATTATCCGACGTTTTGATTAAAACACTACATAGTTCATTAATTCGATTGAATAACTCCACATTACAATGTGTAAGATTTTCTGGGAAATTTGGCAATAAACTAATTTTCATTTTATAACGATAGGATCTTTCTAATTTCCAGTTGAAGTTTTCTAAATAAAATATTATCAAAAGGATATAATATAAATAAATCTAAATAACATTCATTCTCATTTTTTCTTAACAGCTCATTTTTGGTAGCAATACTGCAATGATCAGTGTTTACAGAGAACTGGGATATTGAGAATAAAGTTACGTAACAGGTTCACGAATTATGATCACAAATACGAAAATATGTTTTTAGGCTGAAATCTATTAATAATTTAAGTCACTTTTCATTACTGGTAAATTGAACTGTTCTTTTTCAACATTTAGAACCTGTTACTAAGAGTGTTACATCCTTTAAAAAATTTAATCCAAATGGCCGAATTATTCTATTAAATAAGTTTCTGGATTTGTTTAACAAAGGAGGATTGATTTTGACCTCATAACTATAGTTGTTTGTTCTAATAAAACTGAATACCATAGGAAATGTTTCTTGGTTCAATATTTATGATGAATAGATAGTCATTTAGATCAGTAGCCATATTGCAAATTGATCGATGAAATTCGATCAGTGCTAGATTGACCAGATAAACATGGCATTAGTAATCAATCTGTGCAAGCACAATGTATCGTTATATGAAGTCGTTGATTCTGGTGATTCATACTATATCAGTCGATTGATTACAGTTAGGCTAGTAAACCTTCAAAGCAAAGTAAAGGATCATTCAAATCAACAGTAAAAAACTCATTTACACATCAAAAATTGTCATTGATATTTATTAAAGTTGGATAGTGACTAGCAGTGAGATTAAGGATGCGATTTTTATTCTTTCTAAAATTCTTTAGTTAAAAGTGCTTGCATACCATTAGAATCTACTTCTGGGCATCATTCAACACTAATATAAAAACATGTGGCTTAAGATAACTATCAAGGTAATCCTCTCTAGATGTATATATACCAACAGAAACTGATCAGTTATGATCCTTAATCTGTACAATGGTGTCATATAAACCCATACAAATGTTTATGATATTATTACCAATTAAAATTTAATTGAACGCTTAATATTAACTTACCTAAATCACTTTTCAATTGATAAATTGCCTGATTTAATTTTTCTTCATCATTTTCATATAATGTACACTGGGCAAATTGTTGGTAGATTAAACACATTTCATGTCGAACTCTTCTTAAATTTATTATATTAACGTTAATTTTCTATAAATTGTAATGAGTGGAGACTTAGGAAGGGTCAATCAATTTGTTGTATTACACAAAATCACACACTGCATTTATGAAATATGAGAACAACACGTTAACTATACTATTTGTTCATTTTCTTTGAGTTGTCCCTTATAAACTTTAACATTCTTTCATTCCTGTCGTTATTTTATTGATTTCTGTTTTCCTTTTTCTTTTATTCTGTTCGTAAGAATTCTACTTTTAATTCCTGATACATACTACTTATATCTGTCCGTACAAGTAGCACATATTACAATATGACATATAAATGTTAGTTATCTTTAGAAAGTTTCGTTTGTGTAGAAGATTGTTAAACTTTATTTTAGAGTTGTAGTTAATTAATTAATTGAATGCCATGTTATCAGAAACTGCTAAATATTTATAGGGTATTACAATATCGAGGCAATCCTCACAGGATGCATATATACCAATAAGAGACTGATCAATTGCAGTCCTAAACATCAATGGGAAAATTCAAACAATCAACACAAAAATGAATTTATAGAGTAATCCTAATAATCAGTTATTCCTGTTCTAAGTATACGTTAATTATATTATCTAGAAATTTAGTTAACGCTTCATAAGTAAATCATTCAGTGTCATATAAACGACTACTTATCGAGTTTTAATGACTTGTTTTAAGGTCAGTATTCTACAAAGTGATCAAGATTAAGAGTATTTGATTATTAACAAATATAAATGGAGGGTTGATGATATCAAATAAAAACTTTAAGCATGAATTCACTTGGTATTGTTTTTACTTGAATCTTCCCATTGATGTTTTTAAGACTGCAGTTGATGAGTCTCATATTGGCATATGTGCATACTGTGCGTATGCCTCGATATTGCCTTAATTTACAAGCATTATAAGCAAAGATGGATAGTGGTTAGAAGTGGAATCCAGGACGCGTGTTTCGTCCTGTTTGGGACTCGTCAGCTGGATGTACCCGCATCTCAGTGTTGATGTTCACTCTAAGACTCGAACCTAGCACCGTCCAATTCAAACGCCATCGCGTTATCCACTTAGCTACTGAGTCCTGATAGTCAATTGCTTGTGCAATGGGGTGAAGTTTAATTCACTTGGTATTGTTTTTACATCCAGCTGACGAGTCCCAAACAGGACGAAACGCGCTTCCTGAATTCCACTGCTAGCCACTATCCATCTTTGTTTAAGCATGAATATCCAAAATTCTCAACCTATTAAAAAATGAATTAATATAACTGGTCTTCATTGTACTTTAATAAATCATGCTAGATGTTATCACACTATTTAAGATGCCTTGATGAACGGCCTATGTACCTGGCTCCAAAGTAGCCTTGGATTTCATTTACAATATTCAGCTAAACATTTCAAGAAGTCTAAACATAAAACTATTTCAGAAATTGTATACGAATTGCGCACTCTATGTTAATATATCTTACACTTATCTATGTAAACTACAAGTTTTATTCTGTGACATACCATTTAATTTCAATATGTTTCTTTATTTTGGTACGAAACGTGATTGATTATTTAACTTGATACAATAGTAATTGACATTGATTTTAAGTAAATCACTTTAAAAATAAATCACATCATTTGCATATATCACTTATCCAATGAGATCCTATTGACAGTGGTTTAGACTCTGGGGAAACCTATTTATATTACTCAATATTTCCTCATTTATTGTCTACAGTTTTGAATTTATCTTCTCACTGTAACGATCTTTCATAGTTCACTTAGTCGAAGACACTTTTCTCTGGATCGACTTGTAGCTCTTTTTAAATACTACTTTTTGTAATACAATATCATTGTACTGATGTGTTTTAGCAACTTGTGCTAACGTACACTTATGGCAAATTTTACGTTGATTATAACTGACTGACCTACACTCAATAATATTGTTGACGTATTTATGTAAGATAGCTATTAGCCTAACCTAATGTTCTTTCTTTTGATCAATAAATCTATCAATGGTTCGATATTTCGATTACCTGAAAAATGTATGAAATTATCTACTCTTATTGTTCACAGGTTATTTCATTGTATTTATCAAGATATATCAGATAGATGTTTACTTAACCAAATTAATAGTACTGTGTTTTACTATAATTTATAATTTTGGTTTGTCAAGTGGTATATAGTATGATCATTAAATATTGTATCTCTTTTTTAATCATAAAATTAATAAACTCAGGATATTCATCCTACTATTGAACTGTATCCTTTAATACTATTTTGAGTACTCTGTACATGTATATATCCAGTAAAAACAAACACTATCAGCTTGTAAACTAATACACATGGTTTTGTGTGTTTACCTTTTCAACTGAGTAATCAATAATTTTTAAAAAAATACCATAAATATATAAAACAAACAAAAATTAACGTCGCGGATTGATTGGAACTAGACGTGTACACCATCGGATCCCGGCTCAGTGATCATAAAAGAAACCAAAGGTCCTGAATTCGATTCCTGGCAGTAGGATTTTGGATGTGCACTAACGAAGAGTCCAATACTAGGAGAGAATGGGCTTCTAGTGTTTCCAGGTTTTCAATGTTTTTTTTTTATATTATACTTGAAATCGTTTCTTGATCTCAGTGAAATTCAACAATCCATACAACGCCATACTGACAAAAATCAATCAACTTACTAACCTCGCATTCTTCATCAAGTTTTGGTATATTGACTTTTTCTAAGAGTACATTGTCTAAAATGATTATTTACAGAAATAAACAGTTTGAATTGATGATCTTAATTTTATGTAAAATAATGTTGTATATCTATTGTCAAAACATTACGAACTTCAAAATCAAATACTGTCTATTTTGTTACTAAATAATTCAATGTTAATACTTTAGTATCTGTGATTTCATTATTAAATCAGAGTACCTTTATAAAGTCTAGAGATTTTAATTAAAATAGCGAGTCATCCTTGTTGATCAATACTTACTAGTAAAAAACCTAGGTGTTTATTTTTCTATTCATTGATTGTTTCCATCCATTAAGATTATTCTGAAATCAAACAGAAAGATTGTTGGATATTCTTCTATCTTGAAAATGTTCTTGTATTTCAGGTCAATTGGTAACTGATGAAAGACTTACTATGAAATTTTATTCTAGTTTCAGTTTACCTGGTTTGTCTAAAAATCAAACCAGTTTTAAATAATTTACAAACATTTCTAAACTAATATATGAGCGAAAGTGGATAGTGGCTAGCAGTGGAATTCAGGACGTGCGTTTTGTTTTATTTGAGACTCAATCAATTGTAGTCCTAAATAACAATGGGAAGATAGAAGTAAACAGTATCAAGTGAATTAAACTTCACCCCATTGCACAAGCAATTGACTATCAGGACTCAGTAGCTAAGTGGATAACGCGATGGCGTTTGAATTGGACGGTGCTAGGTTCGAGTCTTAGAGTGAACATCAACACTGAGATGCGGGTACATCCAGCTGACGAGTCCCAAACAGGACGAAACACGCGTCCTGGATTCCACTTCTAACCACTATCCATCTTTGCTTATAAAGCTTGTGATCTAAGGCAATATCGAGACGGTCCGCACAATACACACATATGCCAATATGAGACTCATCAACTGCAGTCCTAAATAACAATGGGAAGATAAAAGTAAACAAAATCAAGTGAATTTAATATATGAGGTTGCGGAGATAGTTCAATTTGTAGTTTCCCTTATGAACTGACTGACTTTAGTTAAAACGACCACTGATGATTAGAATGCACTGAACAATTGTTTTGTTCATTCATTAGCATAGAATTATAATTTCATTGAAGTACATGAAGAATTTAACCTAGATCCTGTCTGGAATCATTAAAAGATAATGATACTAATTCTCAAACTAAAACCAAACAGCTTTTTAGTGATTCCCGGCTTTAAAGTTTCTTTACTTAACACCAGATTATGATGTAAAACCTCTTCAAAATAAATAGAAACCTAAAATGTAAATTAATAATGAATTTATTAAACTTGGTATACGATTTGTGGTTCAATTTTCAAAGATATTTTATTTTACTTACTTTTGTCATGTTCACATAGGCTGTTGGAATAGGTTCTATAACGTAGACTAACAAGTGGTTTATTGTATTGTGTAGTTTGATAAGTCATTTTCGGTTATAGTTCGTATTTCTAAAAAAGGTGAATTAATCCGCTATTACATTTAAAGTGGAATGATTGCTGAATAACAATGTTAAGTTTGTTCAATGTCTAAGTATGTATATATATATTAATCGTGAAGAGATAATTAACACTATTGGATGCTAGATCAAGGGTCTAGATGTTAAGCGTTCGCGCTCGAAACCGAAGGTCCTGGGTTCGAATCCCGCAAATGGGGCCGTGGATGCGCGCTGTTGAGGAGTTCCATACTAGGACGAAACAGCCGTTCAGTGTTTCCAGGTTTTCAATAGTGGTTCAACATCAATCGATTCATGATTGCAATTATGAAACAAAAACATTTACTTTTGGTATTTCAAATAGACCACCGATTTCCGCATATACAAAACCGTATTTTCTGCACGATATATTTCATTTCTGCTTGTAATTTGTTTAAATTGGCAATGATCTAATATTGACAGTCACGTGATGTCAGTTAAAATGAGTGAGTGGATCAACGGACTTATACGAAGAATAAACGTAAAATAAACTTTGTCTATTAGTTCATTTTCTATTTCAAAGGTTAAAAAAGACTAACTCGTAAACAAAAATAAATCACATTTATTAACGGTACTGATTTCGTTCATTATTATTGACTAATATGATCAATAATTGTATATTTGTACTCAGAATTTATTATTCAGTCTTAAAGCTAGAATAGAGTGGCTTGTTTAGAAATAAAACATGAGTATCAGTCAATCACTATCATCAGTTCCAGTTTCCTTAATTAAACACTTTCGTTGTAGGTTGGGTTCGTCATCCTCAGTTGAAATGAAATATTTGAGACATTGAGATTATAACATGAAATGACATTAGATGCAAATATTGAAATGACTGAGATATTGAGACTGATAATTTTCCCAACGGAATCAAACTCTAATTACTTAATCAAATAAATCTTAGAAGATTGTATTACTTTCCAAATGGCTAACTACATTAGTACGTATTTGGCAAATGAAATTGGAATATGTACACAAAATTTTCGATCGTCATGGTGTGATTGTATCAGTTATCGGATAAAATAAGTGAGTAATGGAGGTCACAAAGTAACTTATAGACCTTGGGATATATATAATTTTAACTGTTACAACATGCCATTTTACGTTGACTGATCTTAATATTAATTGTAATTGGAATAAGACAAATTTACTTTATTCCTTAGACATTGTATCTGTTGTCTCGCTCCAAATTATCTCAACAACTGGGCATGCACATTTTGAGATCATGTTTTTTACCTATCGATATGATATCGTATATAAATGGTGATTATAATCACCGTTACTCACAAGTACGTTCACCTAAATACACTTACTGTATCACTTTTGCTCTATCCAAACGGAACAAACACTAATGTACTATCAGTAGCTAAAATTTAAATCATCTACCGAACTTAACTTATTAAAGGCTAATAAATACGAAAAAGTAAACGACTAATGAACAGGATGCTGGTTTGTACAACAAACTTTGAAGATGTATGTGTTATGCATTAAAATATGCTACATTTTCATCTATGATTGGTCAGACAAAGAGTTATAACTTTTTGATGTTCTTGATGTTAGATTTCTTTAAACGGGCATAGGTATAGCATTGCGTCCTAGAGCAGAACTAGCTCTCTTAGACTGCATCCCAGTAGACAGTCGTTTGTGCGCTCCCCGACTTAACGGAACAGTAAGGACTCGGAAAGATAGGGACACTCGTCGTTGCCTCTTGTCGTCTCTGCCTATTCTCCCACTGACTGCAGCTCAGACGGTGTAAAAGATGTGTTTTACAGAAAGCTTTCCGATCTTCTCCGAAAAGCTAGGCACTCTGACGTAGTAATAGTGGCTGGTGACTTTAATGCTCAAGTAGGTAAACTAAGCGAAAGGGAAAGACATTTGGGTGGATCTTATGATGTCGTGGCTCAAAGAACAAATAATGGCGACCGTCTGTTACATCTATGCTCAGATAACCGCCTGTTTCTTGCAAACACCAACTTCAAGCATAAGCAAAAACTGTTATGAGTTTATGTAAGGCTTTTTATCACGTGATTTATCCACTAATCAAAATACAACTTATACCATCTTAGCACTATGCCAAACCAATGACGTTCAACCGGTCTGGGCAGCCTAGAGTCCTTATTGGTCCTATGTCCGCCTAGCCCGTTCACTTAAGTCCAGAACACCAATACCAGCTTCCACTATGCGAATCATATATTTCAAACACACCGTGTTTATATATTAAACAAACAGACCGCAACGCACCATCAAATAGGAAATAACATTTGTACACAATAAAGCCCAAAAGTGACTGTGAACGTGGGGGGCAGTAGTCAATAAACTCAACATAGCTTAAGAACAGTAAATCGTACAATAATAAATTATAGGTTAAAATAAAGCTTATAATAAGAGGAATATAAATTTCCATGATGTAATTATTGAATAGTTATACCATAAGAATGTATAGATAATTTTAGTCAATTAATATGTCTCAGAAGTCACTCGTGATTTAATCTTCGCTCGGATATAACAAAACATCTTTTGACATAGCGACCATGGAATACGTCCCAACGTTGGACCCAAATAGATCACATCACTATCAGCCACTGATGAAGGGCTCCATAGAAGACTGTCGCTCATTCTGGAGCACATGCTTAGATTCAGATCATGCTCTAGTACGAGCGCGTATCTATCTGCGTCTTACTGGACGTAGGAAAGACACTGCAAGTAAACCTCTTAGGGCCCTACTTAATGATGGTCAAGCTAAGAGTATATTTCAGGAACAACTAGGAAAACAGTTAGGCAGCCATGTATGTGATGCCCACCCCGAGGCAGCAAGGAATGATATCCGAAAAGCTGTGGAAACGGCAGTGATATCTGCTAATAAGGTAAACCAGAAGGTTAGGGAGCAACACTGAATCTCGGCATCGTCCACCGCACTGATAGATGCTCGAAAACTCATCCCATCTGGCTGTGAACATGACGAAGGGCGGAGTCAGCTTATGTGCAGGCTGACAGAAGCCTACGCAATGGTCGCGAACAGTGGTGGGTAGCGAAAGCAAGAGAGATGGAAAAGGCGGTGGCAATAGGTAACAGCAGACAACTCTTCAGACTTGTGAAGGAAATTGGTATTAGGAATCCAACTGTTAGCGAAAGTATCTCGAGAAAAGATGGACGTATTATACATTCTGAATCCAGGAGTTTGGATCGATGGACAGGACTTTTTAGGGATCAGTTCAACTGGCCTCCAGTCAGACTTCTGTTTCCCACGATCTTCAGTCGACCTGGATGGCAAGTTGATGTAAGTCCTCCAACTCTTTACGAAGTGGGAAAAGCTATAGGAAATCTGAAGCGATGGGGAGTAGCAGGCCATGACAGGTTTACCTCTGAGACTTTTAAGGATGGTGGTACAATATCAGCAGTGAGATTTGATAAGTCTTATCAATTGAACGCTATATTTATTTCCTAAGCTATTGCGATGACCCGCACGCTAGAACTACACAGCGACTTGAACACCAAAG